CTAATATTTCATTATTTATCATATTTTGTTTTCGTCTACTAAAAATCGACTATCTACCTTTGCATCGCTAAGCAATTCCCAGCGTGGATGGAAAAAAAATTGCAGACCTTTTGCGGCGCCCTCCAGAGTGAGGGATCGCGTGAGGAAGACCACGATTAGGAGGAAAGGCAATGTTGCTGTCAGATATCTCACTTGTGCTGATGACTTAATCGACTTCCAAATGGAGAAATATACCATGATCCACGCGGTTATTAAGCACGCCACGAGCTCCCATCGCAAAATCCCCGGCTCTTCGATGCCGTTACTAATTTGCAAAACCTTATTGCTAAATAGAAGAACAATTATTCCTTTTTGAGACACGTTTTACATTAAAAAAGAAAAGAGGGCATTACTTAGTGAATTAGATCTTAGAAATCTAATTATGTATCATTGAATTTATATTTATAAATTAGAAACAATCGTTTTATATCGTTTTACACGCGATATGAAAGTATTTTAAACAAATATAGTGCAATAGCATGTAATATTATAGTATCAGCTTAAGTTATAAAAATTAGCTTTTTGAACAATTACTCGAAAAATTCCTCGGACGGTGTTCTTGTCAAGTTTGGTCGAGTTCTATTATCGATGGATCCATAACTGGGCAGCCAACAACGCGGCGAGTTCCACGAGTGGTCGCAACGTGACCATGGTTGCTCCGCTCGGAATGCCGCGAAGAAATAGTAAATTGCGTAGGCTATTATCACATTATGGTAGGTAGACATTAAAAACGATATTACGACTGATGATAAACCAGCTCCTACAAAGAGAAACATACGTACGTAGATAATAGGGCAAAGCAATTTATTATACTTTAAAGAGGCTTAAGTTAAGATTTCAGATTAAAAAAGAAAAAAGATAAGAAAGACGAAAGAGTGATAATTTTAATCCTCTGCTCTCTCTCTCTCTCTTTCTTCTCTACTCTCTCTCTCTCTCTCTCTCTCTCTCTCTCTCTTTGTTCACTTCGTTCCTCTCAATTATTCTTTTTAATTTAAACGCGTGTTTTTAGTCAGCGCATTTTATAACGCTACAAAAATGAGCGCGCGGAAAGCTTTTAACAAACACTCGTCGGAGTTATTGGATTTGATCGGCAATTTGTCACACCGTGACTTATTCATTTACCTTTCAATAATGGACATACTTGACCCAGAGCGCCGATTGGGCCGCGACGAGTGAATTGTCCGATGCTAAGCTCCATGTACAGTAATGGTACTCCACATACTATGAGTATTAAAAAATAAGGCACGAGGAACACACCTGAAACGATATAATCGATATAAGCGAAGTCTCCTCAGTATGCATACCAGTGTACGCGATTTTAAAGAGCATTGATAATTTTTCTTCTTGAGAATAAAAAAGAAATTAATCCAGTTGCAGGAAACATAGGTTTCGCCCAGCGTTTCGCTAAAACGAGGTTCGCGCGTGTACGTAATAAGTGCCACGACGTTAATCATACTGTGGGTAGCGACAAGGTCACTGGATGTAACTCTTTATTCGCAATAAACGATGGACCGCTACGGATTACGACTTAATTTGACATCGAGCATTTAGCAGCCACGAGAATAGGTGACGATTAGTCAGTTAATAAGTATTTTTTAATTGCCAAACTCGCTGATACAATTCACTCGAGCATGTAAATCGTAGTACTTATTTCCAATTTTAATTTTGATTTAATTTACTTTTTATCCTTTTCTTATATTTTTACGAGAAGTAAAACGAGAAGTTTTAATAAAATTTTCTCATTTTTAATTAAAAGGAAGTTAAACTGAAATTAAAGTTAATCTATTTTGGTAGAAATGTACATTATATATAAAATATTAATAATTATAAATGTATATTATCTAATAAAAAAATATATATTTATATATGTATATATATACTTTTATATATATGTATATTATATTTCTAGTGTACACACGCATACACACACACACACACACACACACACACACACACACCAAATCATTTTATATTCAGTTTAATCTTAAATTCTTAAATGGATTTTCGAATAATTTGATGCATCCGTATGGGTGTTCGGCAGTCACACGTGTACAATAATTTCTTTCACACCTCGCAAAAGATGCAAATTAATCCCAGTCGTCGGAATGCGCGGATATGTCGTGTCGCGAGCGTAAATCATACGGCGTTATCCGATCTGTTTTTCTCATCGTTTCAATCCGGCCGAGCAACGCGCGGATGACAGTTTTCATTTAGTTCGATGCACGCGATACAAAATAATATACGTGATCACACTTGAAATAAATTATCGCGAGATACGAAACGAGGATGTCGGAGATAACAATCGGCCGATTCAATGTGACGTATCAATAATGATTACGAGCGATTTAATTTCTGGCGAAAATCCAATCGCGTCGCATTACAAGGCGGGTAATGACGCGCACTCGCATTAACGTTGTTACAGTTATATAGCCGCTGCTGTATCGTTTTTATCATGAAAATGCAATTTAATGTTACAATGAATATCGAAGCGTGGATCTCGCGTGCGCAAGTAGAGCCGCGTTATTTCCCCTGATTTTCCGGTCTTCCGTTTAATATGTGATTTTGCAAAATTACACACGCCGTGTATTTTTACAACAGCACCGCGTGCTATTTGTACAACAAATTAACTTGCGCATGCACGGACTGTTGAAATTACAGAGTAGCTTCCAGCTCATTATATGCATGGAAATGTATTACACAAAAGTTGTAATTAAATAAAGGTGCTCTTTCATTTTCTGCAAATAAAAATGACTTTTTCAGGGTAAATGCCGCATGTATCTATTATCATTTAATTAATTAATTTAAAAACAAGAATTTGCACCTATTCTTATTGCATTTAAAGACTCTATATTTCCATTTGTACGACATTTAGAATAAATTAACAAAGAGTAAAAATTATAAAATAATTATAGGATCTGTTTAAATGTCAAAATTATATCTATATCAGAAGCGATAAAAATCGCGTATTATGATACGCGATCAACTCGCCTTATCTGTTAAAACTCAGATCAATTTACGATCTTCCTTATCTTCGCATGAATTTAGATCGACGTTGCCCAAGCGAAGCGGTAAATCGTTTCAATGGTATAAATCGGATCGCGTTATCCGAGCTGGTTTTCCGGCTCTTCAATTTAGAACCGGCGGAGCCTGAGCACCGAGATGATACTCGGCCGATTATTTCCACCGGTGTCATTGAAATCATTTACTCCGCGCCCGGAGTAAGCCGCCGTGTTCCGGCAAGGTCATGTATCAAGTTCCGCGAGCAAATTGCGCCGCGCATCTAGGATCCGGATGCATTCAGACTTTGAAAATTGCTGGCAACACGATACGCGGATCATGTTGTCCCGGATTGCGAGAGAGCTCGTTCCTGCCCTGAATCTAATGCCCGGCTTACGCAAGACGCAATTTTTACACAGGATCCGCCTCAATTCGCTCTTCCGCGACGGGGTGTAATTTTTCCCCGGTGCGACGCACGTGCGTGCGTGCGTGCGTGCGTGCGTGCGTACGTGTAATTTTTCATGATGATGACAATCTCCTCTTTATCCGCGGGATTGGCTGTGCAATATGTGTAAAACAATTCGAGTGTCGTTACTGCTATTTGCTACGTGTCGTTTTCCGTGACGATACCTCGGAGGAATAGAGTTCGCATTTAACAGATGTTTTTAAAGGAACGTTGGAGGCGTTTCACGGCGCTTAAGTTACACTTCGTACAAATTAGAGGACGATACCTCGGGCCTTGGTTGCTCCGTCAGCTATTTCGCCACTGACGTACTTCGCGACGTGCAAAATAATCACGTGCTCTTATCACGGTTATGCTAATAGCGGGAAATACGTCGCGATTGTGTTGTCCGCTTATTTGACATTTTTATTTATTTCGACCTTATATCTGTGCAGACCACATCTGCGCCAGATCTTATTTCTCTTCCCCTCTCCCGTCTCTTTTTCGCGTTGCAAGATTCCTTTAACGCTCCGTGGAGCTGAATATGGGATTCACGTCACGATTACGCGCAATTTACGTAATAGATTAATGAATTTATCGCGAGACTCACCGCCGCCACTTTTGTAGCATAAGTAGGGAAATCTCCAGATGTTGCCGAGACCAACGGAGTAGCTTATGCAGGCGAGCACAAATTCCATTTTGTTCGCCCAATGGGGCCTCCTGGGCAGCCGATAATCACTGGGATCATCCGCATCCATGTCGCTGGTGCACGTGGAAACATCGTCCTCGAAACTGTGCAAAAATGCAACGCGCGACGTCAAGCTTTTATATTGCAAATGTAACGGAACTCGAATGGAAGACATTTACGGCGCGGAATGCGAAAGAAAAATCGCGAGAGCTCTCCGGGAAAAATGTTACGAGTTACGAACGGTTTTTAGTGGGAGAACAACAAGCATTTTATTAAATATTTTGCCGAGCGAATAATATAATTTAATCTCCGCAGCGGAGGATAGAACGCCGTTCCGGCACTTCTCTGAATTTCCGCGAAACCGCAGGTCGGCGGGTTATTGTTACCGTGACGATTCTTTTAATCGCTTAATGATTTTGCGCCTCGCATTGTGCGTCTACCGGGGAAACTGCTTAATACATTATGAAAATTTATTTAACGGAAAATTATACAGAGGCGCCGTCACGCGTCAGTCGTCAAGCGGTTGCATTTGCATGACACGCGTTTACATACAAGTCCGATGGCAACTATTAAATATTCATCGTCATTGTTTATAGAACGATATATACACATCGATCGAATTCGAGCATCGTAATGTGATGTCCGATTAACGACGGTAATAATTCTATATTCGCGCGAAGATCCGGTAATTATGAATTATGACTGATTTCGTTTCGCGTTTCGCGTTTGTACGAGAGAGGCACGCAGTATAGAGTCGATACGAAAAGAATCCGTTCGTGTTATCGTGATGAAACGTGTCGCGTGAAATAGCGTGCAACGTAAAAATCGACTTTATGTAGCGCATTACGTAAGCGTCGAGATCGGGATAGGAATTTTTATGCGTTTATCGCGCAAATTCGTATTTTACGGTGCGCTGAGCGCAGAAATGGTGTCAGGAGGGTGGCGAAGGGGGGGGGGGAGGTCAGGAAAGGGCGGCCGACAATGCTGAAAGATATACGTGGCGCACCTGTGTACATCCCGTTCGTTTCGCAACGAAAAACTAATATACCGCGCCGCGGAAGTAATGCTCGTCGTATACAATGCGTCACTAGTTTTGAAAAATAGAAGATACAGGTGTACGTATCGTCGTCCGTAAATATGGCAGTAACGAAGACGAGTATCGGACGGTGTCACGATCGACCGAGTTTTCACAGCGGAGAGAACGATGACTAATTCGACATGAGTTATCACACAACGAATCTAAAAGCGAATCTAAAAGCGATGAGCTCTCGATTATTTTATTTATTTATTATAGGATTTTTTATAAAGAATTATTTCCGTTTTTTTCTTCTTTTTGTAGAAATCGGAGATGTATTCTATCGGAAGTGTGATTCGGTCGCATTGAGAAGCACGGGGACTGAGCTTCTTTAGTCTATTGTGTCGTTAATTTCACGGCGACGAGTATCTTTTCGCTCTTCACAAAAGAGCTCGTGTGCACGCCGCTTCAAAAACGAGACGTGACGAGGTCTAAATGTAGGACGGCGATTACGGGTCATTTCGAGCGCTTCGTCCCGTTTCAATAGAAGAAGCGGGACGGAATCGCGCAACAATATGTAACACCGCACGAGCACACCTACTTACAACAACGGTGCGCTCTTACATTGTACACTTATTATCCACTTACGTTCCCGGGACGATACGCCGGAATTGCATACCCTGGATGACGAGACCTGACCGCTTCGCGTCGAGTGGCTTAGACGCGTAGCGCATCTCTCTCTCTCGTCACGTAGAATCCGCCGCAGCCCGACGAGAGACGTGGCTCCTAATCAGAGCAATCGAAACCGGTCTAACTAGACCGGGCTAATCAATGGGCGAATTCAATTTTCAACGGCGGTGGATTCGTGCCCCCGCGAGTGAAGAACGTTTTCGCGCGCGTACATTCACCGACGTTTGAACTCACCGAAATTACACCGGAAATTATACCAGTTTCGATCCCCGGCTCTAATTTACAGACACAAAGCGAATCTGATGCAGCAGCTTCCGCGCTTTAGAGCAGGTCGCGGCGGCGCTGATTAGAGCGCCTATCCGTGGTAAGCTGAGAGCCAATTTCATCGGTGTTGTCGATTAACTAACTTGACCCTTGCTCCTTTCTCGCAGTCTTGGCCGTAATGCAGGTGCGCAGCGAGGAAATTCTATTCAATGGCGGATATTGCTAATTGATAACGCGATCGATCTTAAACTCCATTTAAAGTGATCATGTAGGAAAATTGAATAGCTCTAAGATAGCGAAAGTTCAAGATAAATATAAATATAATATTTTAAATTTACTCTACATGTATTTCATTTCTTTTTGCATGAAATTTAGTTGTATACATTATATATATTTAGTTGTATACATTATATATATTTTTGCTTTATATGTTCTCTTTTCTTCATCATCAAGACTGTGATCCAGAAAGGAACGAAAAATTTAGTTGACTAATGATAATTGCTGCGACTGACCTTGAAGAGCGCGAGAAAATTTTAATGTTGGCTGCTGCATCAAACGAAGCGAAGTGACAAAACGACTTGAGATGCAATTCATGCGCACTAAGTAAGCAATTTCGGATTTTACAGTCTCTTTATCATTCGGAAATAATCACTAAGATGTTATGAAGTGCTCTCGAACTGCTATTGCGAAATTCTCCTACTGAAATTGATATTGGGCTACAGCTTATTTTAATATGTCGGCTTATTCAGAACGTTTACACGAAATATTAGGCTTTACGTGAGAAACATATGGTAGATACAGTTTCTTACACATTTTAATCATGATGCTAATTTAAGATCAAATGTTCGAATGTATTTCCAAGCACTGCGATGAAGAGAACACATGTATGAATAATTTAATTAATTGCGACGGGGAAAAAATTTAAAGCGCGACGATTGCCAATCGTTTATCAATTTTTGAGATAAAACAGAGCCGATGATTTATTGAAATTTAGAAGTAACAAACGTGTTATCTCAAATTACTTTTCCGAGAATAAATCTTGTTTCTCAACCAATATTATTTTCGTCACGCGCTGTACAAACGTAAGATTTTTAATTTTATTTTAATTATCTATATCACGAGACGGATGCTCTGATAATTATAGCATCATAATTAGCTTTTCAAAACTTAATCCGTTTTTAAAAATAACATTTTTAAAGAAATAAGAAAGAATTCAGCAAGAGTAGATTAATCAGTAGATTAATCAGCGATTTCAAAAACAACAACACGAGATCGGCCCGGCGCGTCTCTTCCGTTCGTTCGCCAAGCTTCTACATCTCATTTTACAATGAAACAAAACGCGGACGTAGTCCGATCTCTCCTTTGTGCGGACTCCGCCGTTCGTTTTCGCACGGAAGCGGGCATCACGTGTGTGCGCTATCACGTGGGGCGTGATTCACGCGGCCGCTTCTTCGAAAGCGCCGAGGCACGATCGTAGGCAATGTGTCTCACTTACGGCGGCGGATGTACCACGTTAAACAGCTCCGACGGCGAAGTGGGAACTCTACGTATCGTGAGCTTCCGGCCGTCGGAAGAGCCTAGCCCGATCGACGCCAGGGATCTGATCGAGACCGTGTCGGGGTACGAGCGGCTTTGATTCTCGTTGGTCCCCGCGTACGGGATGGAGACCCAGGTAGGCGATAACTGATGACAGCAGGGACAGTATCGCTGGTTCTCAGCCATTGCCTCGGCGTTGGGTGACGTTGCCCTCGATGAACGCACGTTGGTGAGAGGATGATGGTAATGATAATACCGCAGATCGGTGCTTCTAAGGTTCGATCGACCGGGACTCTGCGACCTATTGTCGCGTTCCGAACTCGATCCAGACTCGACGAGATCAATCACTAGTCGTGGCTGCGGCCGTCGACGATGACCTTTATCCCGACGAGCACTCTCGGGACTGTCGTAGCTGATCGCCCTTCTTGCGCTGTTACCATTGTCGACCGGTATGACGAGGATCTTGTGTTCGGGGGAATTTAACAAACGACCTCTCTCCTCCTCTGAAGACCATTCGATTTCGGTCTCGAGTCGTTTCGCCTGGTGTTGATGATGGATCCTGATTACGTCCGGGTCATCTGGATCCGCATCGTCTGACACATTCTCTTCTTCTAACATCGTGCTCATTTTACGCACGCAGCCTGTCTGTTTGCCATGGAGCTTGCTGTGGGCAGCATCGCCGGGCTTCGGCAGGACGGGCTTACTGCCGTTGCGCGGTTCGTCACTGATGCTGCTGATGCCGCTGACGCCGCTGTCGTTGTTACCACTCTCGGTGTCCATAATCGCATGACGACCTCTATAGACAAAGATGGATATACATAATGAGGGAGGGGAAGATCTGCATTAATATCCTAGGAAAATTGGCCGTTACAATATGGCCATTAAAAGCCAGTTTTTTCTAGCTATATTAATTTAAAGTAAAAAGAGGTAAAACATAATGTATGCAGGAAACAAATTAGTCCTAAATCAAGAAAGAAAAATATTTTTATACATAAGCAAGAATATTATAATCCTCTTAAAAATTTTAGTCTTAATTTGATTGAATTTTTATGGATGCAAGTCTTTTGCTCGATCTAAAAGATTAAAACTTTTTTATATAAAGATTCTTGCTTATGTAAGAGAATATCGCAACTAAAATTTTTCTAAAAAAATTATAATATTTTTGCTTCTACATATATAAGAATATATAGTCTTGATTTAAGACTAATTTTTTTTTTCTAGCAGTATTCCATTTTGATATTACATCATAATCGACTGATGAATTATTGATCAATGGTTAGTCATTAAAATATCGAATAGGTATTAGTTCGAATTTCAAATCAACTGAATATTAATTTCAATATTTTGCGATGAAGAATCGTATATTTCAAAACTGATTGATTCAATACACAATATACGATTTTTTCTGAAAGGTAGAATAAAAGAAAAATACAAACAAAGTTATTAAATAACTGCCTACATGCGCAAAATCTCATTGATATTTCAAAGGAGAAGTTGAATCTAGATTTACCGTAGAATTTAAAAAAACGTTAAACTTTGGAACACCTACAGAAAGAAACTTATGAATAAATGACGAGTAATGTCAGAACATTCTTTAAGCGGGATTTTATCGAGAAGCAGTGGGCGATAGGCAATAGAATACTCGTAGAGTTCGAACGAAAAGAATATACTGTATCAAGCAGTGCGAAGTGCCTGTTCGGTTTAATAATTTGCGATTGATCATTGATGAATCAGCGACACGTTGATCAAATACAGCGCTAGTGAAACATTTTTTTAGAAATTTAATATTAAAAAAATATTACTTAACTATATGTCGGAGAACATGTCAGTTTTAAATATTTAATTTTTAATATATCTCTTCTTTCTTTTTTTTATGTTATAAAAATCTCTCATGAAATTTGCGAAACATTTGATTTTGTATTCTACAAATTCTACTCTCTGGTCATTTTAGGCAAAATATTAAATTTTAAGCACTTCTATGATTCATATTGTCTGTAATATATTTACCAATGCTTTGAACAAGCTTTAGCACGAGAAATTTCTCTGTGGTAGTTGACGTGATTGACATAAATTATCGAATATATTAGATCTCGTCCCACGACAAATATCAGTTCGAAAATTCGCACAACCGACGCTAATTGTATATTGACAAATAATTCATTGCCACTAATAAAAATCAAAACAAGTTGTATTTTATGAAACGTCAAATATCTTCGTAACATAAATATTTATTATGTCATTAAATAGTAAAGAAGATAAATTCTTATTGAAAAAACGTTTCTTTGCGAATATCAGAATATTTGAAATCGGCGAACGTATTTACATTCTCTAAGTTTCAAAAGCCTGAAATTCTTCAATTTGCTCCGACTCGTCTCAAGTACCTCGACTTTAAGTTAATTTCCAACGTTAATATTATTTTATTCCACTTTATTTACCTGTTTGGATAAATTTAATTTTATCTTGTACAACTTTTCCTCTCTTCTACAACTTAAACTTGCTAAAACAACTTTCTTTCGTCTTGACGTAATGACGAGAAGTCCGCCACGTGACTGTGCGCGGACTTCTTGCAGATACGACTGACTATCATTGCGCGAGTCTTTACGACGTTCTGATAGCTAGAGATAGTGTCATCGCAGGTGTGTGCAGCTATTAATTTAGTATGATTTGTTAAATTCTCGCGCTCGACAATGTTTACAAATGTCTTACGACGCACGTTTAAACAATTTTTATGTGAACAGTCGTTACATCAAGTACGATCGTTGTAAGATAATAATTACGCCAGTGTCTTCTCAATTGAATTGAAAAAATGAAGTTTTTTATTTCTCCTCGTCATACTAACGCACGCAAGAGTGATAAGAACAAGTGATCGAAGTCTTCGCTTCGAGTTTTACGATTGCATTTCAGCGCAAATTATTTCTTATTTCCAAAGATCCGACGTTACGCAAGCACCGAAACCTCTTGCACTTTCATCGTAATGAGGAACAACAATCGCGAGCGAGAGATCGAGATCGGAGCGCGCGCTTTTTGGGGCGCGTTGCCGCAGGTGAGCGTCATTCGATGACACTTCCACGCGCGTCACGTGTCACGCGGAGAGCATTACCTGTCAGATCGTGGCGTGCTCCGAAATTGAAGCCTGGCGCGTCTCGACAAGCCGAGTAAAAGTCACTCGCGTATCGCCGGACTGATAACGAGGCTGACATCTACACGCCACCACACGCACACGCGCGCGCACACGTACACACGCAGCCGCGTGGGCGTGCGCGTGTTTTCTCAGCGTATACACGTGCACTGTCGTTCGCGGCGCGGCATGACGCGTGCTCCCGTTTCTCGTTCACTTCCTCCCGCGTATGTCTCTCCTTCCCGAAACGAAACTGCCGAGCGCACGAAAATCGTTCTCGGATCACGAACACCGACGTGAATCCGCGTTTCGCGGCGATCCGGGTTCATGTGTACGCCTGTGCGTCGCGATCGGCCCGCGAATCATGACACATACGCATAAAACACACGCACACGCGCGCGCACGCACACACACACACACACAC